ACACACACATACACACACATACACACACACACACACACACACACACACACACACACACACACACACATACACACACAAAACACACACACACACACACACACACACCCAAAAAGTTCATCTAGTAAGTGAACATAAGAAGCAATGCTGTTTAAACAATGATACTGAAGTCAGTAAACAAAAGGCCATTAACTGGTCTCTAAATTGCAGGAATCTATTGTGTTACTGGGTAACATTGATAAAGACAACCAACTTGACAATCTGCACCTGGGCTTGAAAAGTAGGAACTCTATGGACTTGCTGAGCACAGCAATCATGTGTGTGTGTGGTGTGTGTGCCTGTGTGTGTGGTCTGTATGCATGTATGTGTGTGTGTGTGTGTGGTGTGTGTGCCTGTGTGTGTGGTCTGTATGCACGTATTCGTGGTGTGTGTGGTGTGTGTGGTGTGTGATGTGGTGTGTGTGTGGTCTGCATGCATCTCTGTGTGGTGTGTGTGTGTGTGTGTGGGCCTGCATGCATCTGTGTGTGTGTGTGTGTGTGGGCGTGTGTGTGTCTGTGTGTGTGTGTGTGTGTGGGCGTGTGTGTGTCTGTGTGTGTGTGTGTGTGTGGGCCTGCATGCATCTGTGTGTGTGTGTGTGTGTGTGTGGCCTGCATGCACAGTGGTAAAGCCAGAACTGTGGTTGTCTTGAGTCACTAGCCATCATGTCCCTGCTCTAATTAACCTAACAACTCCTCTAAGATTTCTTTTAAATTATGGGGACCTCCTTTCCTGAGTCTTGCTATATAAACCCAGGCTGTCCTCTAGCTCCTAGGCCTCAAGGATCCTCCTGAGTGGACATGACGGTGCCACTGCCCAAAGCTCTTAATTCGGGGTTAGGGGCTAAATTCTGGGCCTTGTACATGCAGGACAAGTGCTTTGCCCCTGAGCTGCACCCCCAAGCCCTTGAAACCTTTCATGATTTTCTCAGCCAAAAATGGAATGCTAAGATGTGAGACAGTTTAGGATGCTATTTTGTAATCCCCTCCTCGACAATCATCCCAGAGACCTAATAAAACCATTAACGATTCCCAACTCCAGTCCCGGAAGGCGGCACAGATTCGAGACCGAGAAGTCCAGCTGGATATTCAGCCATGTTTCTGTGCAAATTTCATGACTTAGAAAAGTTTACCAAATAAGACAGTAGCTGGGGTGAGCTAGGATTAATCTACCACTTAGAATGCAGATTTGGCCTAAAATGAAAGCATTGTGTGGCATCCTGGGATCAACAGAAGGTGACCATCCCTAACCCAAAAGTCCAAACCCAGGGTTCCACAGTCTGTAGTTCTCTGAGCATCAGCATGTGTCTTAGTGAGGGCTTCTATTGCTGTAACAAAACACCATGACCAAAAAGTCAATTGGGGAGGAAAGGGTTTGTTTGGTTTATATGTCCACATTGCTATTCTTCACTGAAGGAAGTGAGGACAAGAACTCAAGCAGGACAGGATCCTGCAGGCGGGAGCTGGTACAGAGGCTGTGGAGGGGAGCTGCTTACTGATTCACTCCCCATGGCTCTCTCAGCCTGCTTTCTTATAGAACCCAGGATCAGCAAGCAGCCCAGGCATGGCACCACCCACCATGGGCTGGGCCCTCCCCCATTGATCACTAAATGAGAAAATGCCTCACAGCTGGATCTCATGGAGGTGTTTCCTCAGCCGAGGCTCCTTCCTCTGTAATAACTCTATCGTGTGTCTCGTTGACACACAAAACCAGCCAGTATATCGTGGACCCACAAGTGGAACATTCCACACCACAGAACCTTGCTTCATGGGCAAAATTATCCAAAATAATGCATAAGACGCCTTCAGGCTATCTCTAAAATAATATGTGAGACATACATGAATTTTATATTCAGATTCGAGTTCTCTCAGATGTTTCATTATAGAAACAAAATTAAAAAATATTCCAAAAATCCAAAATGAAACAAAATTCTCCCTAAACCCCAAGAACTTCTGATCCAAATCTTTTTGGAAAAGGGACATTCAAGTTGTGGTTGAAGACTCCATGTCATTCTGTAGCTCAGGGGTGACCACAGGCCAGTCACCGCCCTCATCTTATTTTCACGTTGTTTTACTCTGTTTCTTACCAACCAAAGGTTCCACAACATTCAGCAGTAAAGTATCTGTTGCTCATCCACTTTGTATTAAATAGAGGACGGGGAAAATGGATCCTTGTTCCACACTGATTTTTATCTTTACTTCTCTGGAATAAAACATTAGAAACGCACCCATCTCTTACCTTGCATTTCAATAGCACGTTACACTCTCCAGTCACTTCCCAGCTCAAATACTCCGCAAAATGTGGGCCTGTGAAATTTTAATAACATAATTATTCTTTTATTGATTAATTTAATTAGCTGCAAATTCAAGATCAAAGCTCATTCTTAAATCTCCAGGCAGTTTATGTTTGAAGTTAGATTTTCTTAAAACTACGGTTTCATTTTAAAATATTTCTAATGTCTACATGGATAATAGTCGTTATTTTAAGTGCTGTTCATTTAAATTTGTTATAGAAAAATAACCTTGGAATATTTTATACAAAAAAGTCTGTTTTTACCTTGTTTCCTGATCCATTCTTGTCGCTGGAACTCAGCTTCTTTCTGGAGTTTCTTATAAACTGGAAATAGAAGAACAAGGAGGTGTGAGGTTGAGTTGAGCAGCACAGACACCATGACAGCCACTGTGCTAAGTGGCCTGCTTTCTTTGCGATGGTGCTCAGAGACTGCGACGGCCCCGCTTGTTCTGATTTTTTTTTTTTTCAAGACAGGGTTTCTCTGTGTAGCTTTGGAGCCTATCCTGGCACTCGCTCTGGAGACCAGGCTGGCCTTGAACTCACAGAGATCCGCCTGCCTCTGCCTCCGAGTGCTGGGATTAAAGGTGTGCACCACCAATGCCCGGCTTGTTCTGATTTTTATAGATGAAGAGACAACCTTTGAAAACTAAATAACATTGTGTGGGTATGAGTTTGTGAGTCTCTGTCTCTGTCTTTGTCTCTGTCTCTCTCTGTCTCTCTCTCTCTCTCTCTCTCTCTCTCTCTCTCGCTCTCTCTCTCTCTCTCTCTCTCTCTCTCTCTCGCTCTCTCTCTCTCTCTCTCTCTCTCTCTCTCTCTCTCTCTCTCTCTCTGTGTGTGTGTGTGTGTGTGTGTAGGCCAGAAGTAGACATCGGGTATTTGCTAACTGTTCTCTACCTACATCTCTTCCCCCAAGACAGGGTCTTACTATGTAGCCTTGACTGTCCTGGAATTTAAGAGCAGGGTGGCCTTGAATTCACAGAGATCTGCCTGCCTCTGCTTCCCAAGTGCTGGGATTAAAGCCATGCACCCCCACACCCAGTTCTCCAGTTTATTTTCTAAGACTGGGTTTGAAAATAAACCTGGAGGGTGGAGAGACGGTTCAGTGATTAAGGTCCTGTACTGCTCTTGCATAGGACCTGAGTTGGAGCACCCAAAACTGACAACCACCTATAACTCAGCTCCAACACTTCTGCAACATCCCTACATGGAAATTCATACACACATACCTGAAAATAATAAAAAAATAAAAAAAGGATTTCTAACTAAACTGGCTAGAGTGGCTGGCCAGCAAGCCCCAGGGCTTCTCCTGTCCCTGCTTCCCAGGAATTAGCGTGTGCTGCTATGCTAGGCTGGGTCCTGCAGATCTGAACTCCCGTCTTAGCGTTTTCATGGCAGATACTTTACTGACTAAGCCATCTCCAAGGCCCCAGAACTAAGTAACTTTTCCAAGGTCATAAAGCTAGGAAATGATGAACCCATACCGGCTGTTACAAATATAGACATCTATCAATCTTTTTGAAGCTTGTGAAGTGCCACTTTTTAAACCACGATGGTTTTCACAGACGCTTATTACATCTGATCTCTACAGTCTAGTTACAACATATGATTGACAGATTTGGCACACACTCAGTACTTTTACATTTTTTCTTTCCAAAGTTTAATAATTTACAGTAATCACATATTGTTAAAATAGTATCGTGGCTTGTCACTGAGACATACACATGTGCACGCACGCATACACACACACATATACACACACACATACACACACACACACACACACACACACACACATACACACACACAGTTCTGGCTGTACTGAAACTTCCTAGGTTGGAGAATTTAGTAATGGTACTTTTTAACATATGGAACTATTTAAGTCCAGCCATGCCTGAAACTCGGAACAGTTTTGGTGTTCTTTTAATGTGATGTTCATTTCAAGGCAATGGGAATGGGATTCTGTGGAAAGTATTGACTAGATTTTGTAATTTGATGCAGGAATTCATTAAACAGTTCCAGATGACAGTCATGGGACCCCTTTTAAGGCATGAGGCATTTGCACTGAAGTAAGTAGCCAAGTGTCCACTGACTGTCCCTCAGAATTCTCACCATCTCCAATGAGAACAAGTGTAGAATGGCCAGTTGCTTTTCCATCTTGAATCTGGAATGTGTATGTCCCTTCATCCTCATCCTGCAGCTTCTCCATGAACATTTCAATCACACCAGAGTTTCGGTCAATATGCATCTTGTACTTCTTCACGTGGAGAGGTAAAGACAGAGAAATCAGAGAGGCAAACATTTTGAAGACAATATCCCCGATGAAATAAAAATGAACCCCAAAGGATCAGAATTTTAATATTTCTAGGCAACTAAACAAATTGTTTAAAAAAATATTATTCCTGGAAAAAGGAGTGGGTGTATGAATTAGATGGTAATTGACTATGAGTAGTTTGAAATCTCAACAATATGGGCACCGAACAAGACCTTGATATGGCAGTGTAGGCCGGGGCCTACACTGGCCTCATCCCGAAATGAGAGCTGTAGGCAAGCAATGGCTGCCAAGAGAGGCAGAAACAACCATTTCCTAGGATGAGCCCCTTGATGGGTTATTCAATCCCAGGTAGTCATTCCTAAACACACACACACACACACACACAGGCACGCACGCGCGCGCGCGTGCGCGCGCGCGTCACACTAAATGGACCCAGCAGGTTGTATTAAGAGCTTATGAATTTAAAAGGGAGTAGGAAGGCATGAGAGGAGTTGGGGGGTTGAGGGGTAGAAATAATGTATATATAGCATAATGGATGAAATTTTTTTAAAAAATTAAACAAAAGCAAAATATTAAAATAAATAAATATTTTATTTTAAAAAGGGGGTGGAGTGGGAATCCTACCGGCCCTTCAAAAATTTCCTTCTCATTAAATATGTAGTTGACTTTGGCATTGCCAGACAGCTTCTCAGCCTGCATCCAAAACCGGACCTGGCCTTTCTCCAAAATTTCAACTGCCAACTCTGACTTAGTTGGGACAGCTAGGAAAAATAAAAATAGACATGGTAAGTCATCATACTGGCAAACAGCAATATTGATACTGACATTCTAACAAGTGAAAGAAAAAAAAAACAGTCAATACCAATAGCAGTGTAGCCCCTGCTTCCTGCAAGACCCAGAGATACAAGCATGTTATAGGAGACCTCAGAATAAGGGACAGAGGCCTTGGCTGTCATCCTTGGGATGTCACCCCTTTTGAATCACAGTTGTGCCAACTGCCAAAACAGGGAAGATGAAGGGGAACTCTAGGGGAGCTTCTGGTTAACATCTGTGACTCCCCATTGCAGCTTCAGTCAGGATGGCTCAAGGGCATTCACCAGGAAACATGAAAAAGCTCTCAGATTACCCAGGACGGCTAGCCCCAAGTCTTCTAGGAATAAGCTGGGTGGGCAGTCAAGCTGCAGAGGCCCCTCCGTTTGCTTTCCCCATCCACTCCACAGACTCTTTACCGATTTACTGTGTTTGAACATTCAGCACCGAGGAGGTCCCCGTGGAGAGAGAAGATGGGCTCTGCAGCTGAAACATGATCTTCAACAGCTGTTCCCCACCTTTAGCCTTATGGCCCTCACCTGTCAACACCGGCATTGAGTGCCTCGATCGATCGGCTGTCAGACAATTAACTATGGCACAGCAGGATATGTTAACATACTGCAGGTAATGGGCAGTAATTGGAAGGTGAGTTCTCTGTCCCCTACCAAGTTTACTGATGAGAAAGCTGAATGGTTAGCAAGAGTCATGGCATCCAGGCCACAGAGCTGAGCTCGTGATTATCTCTGCTGTTCTGTACTGTTCTTTGTCCTGGTTCCATTTCTTTGATGAACACTGTGGTTTTCCCGTATGAATAAATGTGTGAGTGGAGCAGATAATAGACAAGTTCCCAAGACCAGAGGCAAACCCTTCAAGATCAGAGGCTAACCCTTCAAGATGACCAGAGGCTAACCCTTCAAGACCAGAGGCTAACACGTAAGATGACCAGAGGCTAACCCTTCAAGACCATAGGCCAACCTGTGCTATAAATAAGTCTTGAGAATAGAAAGCATCTTTTAGTAAAGTCTGGATCCCATCATGGAGGTCCTAATATATGGGTGGTGTGATTTGGAGTGGCAATGCAAAGGAAGGGACTGGCCTTCTTGGGAGCCTTCATGTTATCTTGTCTGCCCTAAGTCACAAGAATGTTGTCTAGAAGAAAACAGACCGCCATGAATTGCCACTGAGGGCACAGAGCACACGGCATGTACATACAATGGAGGCAGACTCTGGCATGGTTGAATCAGCCCCTTAGACTTCATCGGCTATATGCAACCTGGTCTAGTTATGAACTCCCCTGGTCTCATGTTCCTTTTTTTTTTTTTTTTTTTTTTTTTTTTTTTTTTTTGGTTTTTCAAGACAGGGTTTCTCTGTGGCTTTGGAGGCTGTCCTGGAACTAGCTCTTGTAGACCAGGCTGGTCTCGAACTCACTGAGATCCACCTGCCTCTGCCTCCCAAGTGCTGGGATTAAAGGCATGCACCACCAACGCCGGGCACTGGTCTCGTATGCTTAACCTCTAAAATAAAACCACCACATATGGACTCTTTCTGGATTGGTGTGTGTCCAAATGAAGCATTCCATCTAAATGCCCTAGAAAGGGCCTGGCATATGATAAGTGCTCTTTAATTTTGGCTATTAGTATTTGGTATCTGTTTTTTCCTCCAGCTGCTTCAGCAGTATCCTATCATTATAAAATATCCTGTGTTGACAACTAGGAGGCACACAGCAGTGTATCTATATTTATAGGTATATGCCTATGTGTGTATACACAATACATTATCTGTGCAGGTGGGACAAAAGCAAATGCCTACAAATGAACAACTGTGAGGCAGGGATACTACATCTTCTACCCTCTGACTCACCACACTGTAATTTAGGATTATTACTGGCAAAGCAGGTCATTTATTTTCAGTTTTTATGCCTGTACTTTTTGTTTATATTTTCCTTTTCTCAGATCCAAATCACCTCCCCTGGCATTTTATTTGTACTAGAAAACATATTATTTGTAGATTGGAGGCATATGCTTAATGGCTTTCAAAACATTTTTGAAAATGGCTTTACAGAGGAAAATTTACCATATTAAAGGATAGAGGAACCGAACATTTAAAATTTACATTTAATGAGAAATGAGACATTTAAAACCTTATGAATCTCAATAAAACGAGTTAATGTTTTCCTTGACCAGGAGGATGTGGATGTGACTTAAGAAATTAGATATACTCTTTTAACCCAGGTGGCAGATCTCTGAAAAAAAAATGTTACTTTAGTGATGTCATCGATGTGGTTGGGGAAAGAAAATACTGGAACTTTCCTATTTAAAATTCAGTTTTAAGAGTCTAAGAAAAACTTTACTGGATTGGGGATTTGATATTCATACTCAGAGTTTAAAACACATCCTTGGGCTCTCCCTTTGTGCCAACCATGTCACAGCTGGTCACAGCTGGTCTCTGACAAGGAAGCTAGAGTTTGCTGTCACCCTCTCTGTAAGCAGCAATAATATAATCCTTAGGCTTACTCAAGATAAAAGATCTCAGTGTAGATGACAACAACATGAGTTAGCTATGACTTCCTTAATTATACTATCTCCAAGTCTATAGACCATCAAACCGCAGGAGGCCCAGGTAATGTGAGCTTAGCTGTAACACCCTGTCTTGACTTCTCTTACCACCATCTTTTAACCTAAATGTAAATGTTGTTGGGAAAGCTGTTGCCTGGATATGTGAGCGGTATTTATTAACTAGATTAGTGTTTCTTTCCATTTCTACCAGGCTTGAGTTGAGGATGTAAACATCTACCCTAGAAACAGCTTCTTATTAGGTACTAAGCACTGTCACAATAGCCAATCCTAGAAAAAAAAAAAAAAAAACAAAAAAAACAAAAACAAAGCCCAGGGAAATGGGGATGATTTTCTCAGGGTCACAGAACACAGAATGTCCAGGGAGGCCTTCACCTTTCATACGATTTTCAAAATTAATTTTTCAAACATCAACCACAATAGTATTTTCCAGTTTTATGGTTAATGAACACACAGATGAAATTAATGCCATGTACTGGTATCTGAAACTCTGTATTCCAGAAGGAAAAAGTATGTGTAAGCACTGAGGAATCTTTTAGAGTCTTAATTTAAAGGAGGGAGAGGATTTTAACACTTTTTAATCTGCTTTCTCAAACACTACATTGTGTTTCTCTAGGGGCATCTCTTCTTTTGTTTTAGGCCAGTGGGCCTTTTTGGGTGTTATTTTCTTTCTCTTCTCTTAGGTGTCAGCTGTGGAGTTTAATCTTTTATATGGAAGGTGCTTTATTTAGCAGCTTGTAAATAGTTCAGAAGGGCTCTTCTTCTGAAAGAGGCCCTTGTCCTATTTTCCAAGAGTATGAGAGTATAAAACGTTGTCTTTGTTCAGAGCTTTGAGTATTCTATTACAAGCCAACATCACAGGTCTGCCCAAAACATATACACGAGTATATGTATACAAATGTGATACATTTGAGATACAAATGAGATACAAATGTGATCCCAAAACACATGGGTCAAAACTGAAGAACGTAATTACTGAGTTCACCTTCGGATCACCACACTGCCCTGTAGGAGGAAGCAATGGGTGTGTTTTCTTTCTATACCTTTCCCTTTCCTTTCTCTTTCCTCCCATCCTTCCCCCCTCCCTCCCTCTCTTTTGCTTTCTTTATAGACAGGGTACCAGGTAGCCCAGGCTGGCCTCCTATTTTGCTACATAGCCCAGGATGACCTTGAACTTCGGATACTCCTGCTTCTACCTTTCAAGTGCTGGGATAACAGGTTGTACCACCACACTTGGCTCCAATCCAGGCATCTGTGAATGCTATGAGTACTCTACTGACCACAGCCCCATGGAGTACCTTTTCCTATGTTAATATCTTGGGATTTCTAGAGAAAAAAGGGCTAAGAAAACTATCATTTCTAGAAAGTGCTCCTGTGGATAGTGGCTTGGGATGTATACCCTAAGCCACTCTCTCTACTCTCTCTTTCTCCTTCCATGCCTCCTTGCCCCTACTTTTTTTTGACAGGTTCTACCATGTAGCCCAGAGAAGACCATGAACTCAGGACTCTCCTGCCTCTATCTCCAGCTCTTAGGTAAAGACAAGATTCCTGTCTGGTCAGGCCTTGAACTTGAACTCCATAGCCCAGGCAGACTTTGAACTTGCCTTCCTCCTTCCTGTCTCCACCTCTTAAGTGACTAAGATCACAGGGCTGTGCCGTCAGGTAGGTCTTTAAACTCCATCCAATCTCATCCGAGCTGTCCCTTGTTCTATTGCAAAGCTGAACTCTGGTAAAACTGCTAAAATCTGTGACTGTACTGGGGATACTTACTTGGGAACTTGTGCTCCTGACTGAGGGCAAGCAGACGTTTCATTTCTGTGTGGAGAAACAGAAGACAAACCTTTACCTACTAAAAAGAGTGTCACTTGATGATAACTGGAAAATTAAAACAACATTAGACTTAGGAGTGAACAGACTTTAAACTTACCTTCCTCATCTATCAAGTAGCTTGATGCTATCCCATCAGTGTCTGTCACATCACAAGAATAGGTGCCCAAATCATCTGTCCCGAGGTCTTTGAAGGTCATCTTTGTCCTTCAAAACAAAATATTGTCTTAGAAATGAGACTGTGCACCATCGGTGGCACTATCTCCGATCCCCTGTACATGATACTCTCTTCATGTCCCCACCCACCTCCTCAGCCCCACTGAGCTAAAGCTTGCTAGCTCTCGGGGTCTTGGGTTGAATGCCTTTTCTACCAGGAAGACTTTCTGGACCTCTGGTAGGTTGATGTGGCACAGTAGGAATGCCCCATCTCCAAGCCATGCTACATATGTATAAAACACATCTACAGAAGGGCATTTCTCTGTTTGGCTGGCTGGGTGTCTAAGTTCTTCTCCTGTAGGGGAGCCTGCAGGTGACTCTGGGTGTTTCTGTGCTATTCCTGTACTTCTCTTTTCAGAACTGATACTACACCAGATTATTCCCCAGCGTAATGCCCATGCCTTCAGAGATAGGCTTCTGCTTTGCTTTTGGTTGCATCCCTGGCACCTTGTCTGGAACACAGCATATGAATTAAGGAACAGATCTTACTTTGACTAGTCATGGTATCATCGGAGATCAACTAAACATTTAAATGTTAAATGAATAAACCAGAAGAAAAGTTGGTAGTTTGATTATTATTTTTTTTTTAACCAACTGTGTTCTACTCCAAGTCTTAGTATTCAGGCACCTGTACTGGCCTGTCCTGTCCTGTCCTTGGGGTTCTGGCGGAATATGCCCTCAGCTGCAGCCACAAAGAGCACCACCTGTGCACATTCACTACATTTCCTTTTAAAAGGGCCCCGCCCACCGCCCATCTCTCTCTCTTTCCCTCTCTCTGTCTGTTCCCCCCTCTCCTTCTCTCTCTCTCCCTCTTTCCTTTCTCCTCACATCTGAAGTCCCTGTCTCTGGAGGCTGGTTTCCCCCCTTCCTGTTCCCTTTTTTTATGATCCCTTTCTCTAATTAAAAGAAAAAAAAAAAACAACCCTCTGCTTGAACCCTGTCACATGGCGTCTTTCTCTCAAGCACTGCTTTTCTTAAATTACAACACCAAGAATTGTACATTAGGATTATTTTAAGATTTATACTGGTTATGGATTTTTATAATGCCAGATATGAAATAGTTCTGATTTCATCTTCTTATTGCAAGGGAGTTAAGTAGGGGGCAAGGAGCCTATTCCATGTTCTTGCTGTGAAAATGGAATGTGTTATTAGATAGAGATATTCCTTACTTATTGCCTTTGCTTTCGACCTCTAATCGTGGAGAGTCGTCAGTAGGTATGTAATCTTTGGACCAGGCAAATTCTGACTTGGGAGTCATCTGATCACATTCAAAGTTCAAGGAAATGACTCCATCATCGTCCACATTTACAACAACCTCCTTGGTACCTAGAAGATCATAAAGAAAGCTTTTGAATTTGTCACAGAACCAGCCACAAAAGAACGCTTGCATTGAGATGCCTTCCTTTATTTAGCCTTAATCAAGACACTGTCCCTGAGCCAGGGATAGGTCCCCAGTGTTCACTGAAATTCAACGTCCATAACATAATATGGAATTAAATGAATCTGTGGTGTCTCCTATGTAAAGTCAACACTGATGGGGAAGTACTTCTGTGTATGTTTATCTTATTGATTGTTAAATAAAATACTGTTTGGCCAATGAGACAGCAAGTAGACGGGACTAGGAGTCAAAGAGGATTCTGGGAAATGTAGTAGAGAAGTGCTGATCCAGGCAGGAAGTGACATAGCAAGGAGACTCATATTTAAGCGAAGGAGACACAGGAAGGGCCCTTTTTTTCCCCTCCTGCTCCAGCGGCAAGATGTGATCCCAGCAAGGAGGGACGCCAATAAGGCGTCCAATAAGATAAGTCTTATAAAATATATAGATTTATGATCATTGAGGCTAAGCTAACAGATGAGGAATCCTAGTCATTGGCCAAGCAGCTTTGTACCTAATACAGATTTCTGTGTATTCATTTGGGCCTAACTCGGACAAGCAGCTGGCGTAAAGCTCACACGTGGTGGTGGGGCTCAGCCACTTTTGGCGAAAAGATTTATCGTAACACAACACCACACCTGCCGTGTCTGTCTGGAACTGAGAAAAAGTTGAGTGAAATGGATGTCACAGTGAGGGAATGGATTTGACTGCCATTATGAACAAAGTCTTGGGCAAAAGAAAAGTGGATTTGCGACTTTTGCTTCAATAGATCTCCCAAATAAAATAAGTCTAAATTATTTTCTCTTAAAACCCAGAAGTCAATCTTCTTGAAATGCATCTCATCTCTTGAATTTTATCTCCATGTAAGGTTTAATATGGTTCAGTATTGGTCTTCTCTAGGTTGCTGTCATTTCTAATGTAGAGAGACATCTTCAAATTGATAAGGTTATGGGGTGAGTAGACTAAGTTCCCACATACATTCTTCCTCCTTTGGGTGAAAGCAGGCAATTCTCATTCTCTCTAATTTCTCTTGGAAATTTCTCTGTAGTTTTTTTTTTTTTTTTTTTTTTTTTTTTTTTTTTTTTTTATGTCTTTCTATGCTTTTCTGGTGACCTCCTGGATACAGGGTTCACTGGCATCCAATGTGGCAATTTAAAGTTTTACAGCAGCACATCTATGGCCAAATACATTTGAAAGGAGCAAAATGTGCTTGATTTACACAAGTTATGTCACTGGCTCAACTTGGTTTGTTTCGGTGTATTAGGAAAATTGTATTTAGTCTCAGAAAGATACAGCTTTATTCGTTTTTAAAGTATTAGAATAAAAAAAAACTTTCCTATAGATTTTCCCCCAAAGGATTGCTGTTTTGTCTCTAGATACTACCATTAAAGGCCATCCATCATCCTGGGCACTGTCCAATACAATTACGGGTGGGGTGGGAAGTGCCAGAGTCCTGCTTGGGATGTTCAAGAGGGGACTGAGACAATGAATAACTGAGGATCCTGGATCCCGGTCCTGACGGTTGATATAATTTTCTTTCTGACTGATGGCAATGCACACTTTAACTTCCCTATGTGCATATATGTCCAACAGGTAATGGTTACCACATATAAAGAGTAGAACGGACACTAGGTCTAGCAGATTTTTGAAGTTTTACTTTTAAGAAATGCCTGTTGTCGTATTTGACTCATAGGTGACCTAAAATAACAACCAATCGACTGCTTAATTGTTCCTTAAGTGAAGCATCTGCCATATGGTCCTTGTGAAGTGGCAGGCCCTGTCTCATTTCTGTTCCTGACAGCACCTGACTAATGCCCACACCCGTGTTGTAAAGTACTGAATCAATGTGCTTGTTGGATGGAATTTATGCAAAGGCTAGTGCTGAAGTGTTTGGGCTCAGGTAATGTTACATCACAGAGTTTGCAAGAGTCACTGTGAGAATACAAAAGTCAGCATATCAGTATCTCTGTATTACTATAATGAGGACAGAAGTGATCGGTGTTGACTAAATCTTTTTCATTTTTTGCAAAGTATCTACTTTGGAGGCATGACAAATTATTCATATTGATCATTTCTTACCTGTAATCCTTTTCCAGAGAAAATGAATCACCCTCTTGCTGTTTATTATAGTAAGGACATGACTTAAGTTTATAAAAGAAAGGTATTTTTTGGGCTAAAATCTTGATTTTTTTCTCCTAAGGCCAAAGCCTAGACTTCTATGCAAAGAAATTGCAAAACCGAAAGCACAGGAGCAGTTCCACTGGCATCACCTTTCTCCCAGTTCTGTAGACAACCTTTGGACTCCAAAGCCTCACCCACTTGGAACTTGAACCCAAACCAAGAAATAAAAACACATAGCTCTCTAAGAGCCAATGCTCACGGACCTCGGACCGAAGTCCACTTTGAGGGAGCTGCTCACACTGGGGGATTCCAGACTGTCACATGGAATGTATTTACACAGCAGGTCTGACAACCTTAACTGGTTACTCCCGGGTTAAGCTTAGTAAACAGAGAAGACACTACTCCCAGCAAGCATTTTAAGAACTGAAAACAACCAGAAGGAAGATAGAAAAAAACAAACACCCTCTTACCAGTAAAGATATCATCACTTTGCAACTCTGTCACAAATAAGGTTAGTACTTGTGACTCTGAGCTGTATACAAAAAGTAAGTAAGGTGCAGTACATTACGTCAAAAAGTATTTATTGCAACATACAATCTTTTCAAATGGAATTTCATAGTCTCAAATGAAAATTGAAGGACTGATGACTTGGTGGTGAACTCTCAGATAAACAGAACAATTGGATACTTAAAACCAAATGTTATTTATCTACTTACTTATTTTGTGGTGCTGAGGAGCAAACTCAGGGCAGGTTTAATGGCCAAATTTTGTTTTTAAATACAAGTTAGTGTCAGGATAGGATGGCCAGGCTTAGTTGATGTCTTACTTGTCTCGATGTGTTGAGAGAAGACAGAACTAACTGACTGAAATATTGTGGAAATTAATTTTTGCAACATAAGTGGTGATCTTTCCTTTTTTATTTCCTTTCAAATATACTATTTTAAACCTCAAGTGTGATGTATTCCCTTTACCTCGACCATGTGTGAATCTTACCTCATTACCTTATAACTGGCATCTAGCCTAAGAAATGTGATGTTTTATAATTTTGGAAAAGAATACAGTTGTTCTTTGTTTTAAAATTTAATTTTAATTTAAAAAAACCTAGTCTCTAGGATAGACAGTGATGTAGGAATTAGTTGCAGATTCACCTAGCATCTAAGCATTTTCCTTGTCTGTGGAGCTCTTCTCGGTCAGTTTTGTCAGCTTGGCACATGGTAACAGTGCAGGAAGTAGAAAAGAGGGGCCTGCGCATTCCTTCAACTTGTGCAAATTTAATTGTACCTACGATGGATGATGGCAATTTATTTCAATAAACGGACAATAAGGAGAACAAATAAAGACAGTTGGAACTATTTGGGTCTTAAGGTTTAAAATTAAAAACTTATCAAGATGACTCTTTATTTAGTTGCATTTTTGTTTTCCAAAAAGCTGCTTGGGGGCTGGAGAGATGGCTCAGAGGTTAAGAGCACTGGCTGTTCTTCCAGAGGTCCTGAGTTCAATTCCCAGCAACCACATGGTGGCTCACAACCATCCCTTATGAGATCTGGTGCCCTCTTCTGGTGTGCAGATATACATGGAAGCAGAATGTTGTATGCATAATAAATAAATTTTTTAAAAAAGCTGCTCTGGTTCTTTAATTATTGAGAATAGGGCTAAAATCTATAGAGGGAGAAACTCCATCTTTTATATTTTCTATGCATATTTATGTTCCGGGCACTGGAATGAAAACCCTAACTTTAAAAAACCATAGTTTAAAATTTTTTATATTTTATTAGAACACGTTATATTAAAGCTTCCACATGACATCAGCATTTCAATAAACATCAAGCGGAATAAAGGTTTTGTCCTAGTGGCCATAGCTTTCCTTCTTCATTTTACATTTAGAATCTGGAGCAAGATCCAACTCTCTTGTTCTGTAGTCAAGAAAGGGCTCCCTTCAAATAGTCTCATCTAGGTGAAAGGCCAGCCCACCTTGCCATGAAGTTGGGTTGGAAGAGGGAACCCAAGTTTTCAGTGACCCAGGATTTTTCAGGAACGACTTGTCAATCTGTTTAAACACATGAAAATTCACTTGGCACATCAGGAGATTTGAATAGAGACTATGAAAGATTACTTTGGCCTGTTGTCCTGGGACTACAGAGATGGCAAAGGGAGTATGAGTAGGTTCCCAGGTTTGGTTCCCAGCATCCACAACAGCTCACAACTGACCGTAACTCCAGCTCCAGGAGATCCAGTGCCCTTCTCTGGACTTCACAGGCACCTGTACTCTTGTGCTCATATCCCCACCAACCCTATACGCACACAAAAAACACAGACTTAGAAATCAACCTTTAAGGAAAAGAAAAGTTCCTGGGTGGGGGTGGCACATGACTTTAATCCCAGCACTCGGGAGGCAGAGGCAGGCGGATCTCTGTGAGTTCAAGGCCAGCCTGGTCTCCAGACGGAGTTCAAGGTCAGGCTCCAAATGTACACAGAGAAACCCTGTCTCGAAAAAAGAAAGGAAGGAAGGAGAAAAAAGATAAAGAAAAGTTGTCCCTAGTCAGTGCCTCAACCTACAAAAATCCTTAATGTAGACATGGGGACATCTGATTTGATGGGTGATATTGCAATGGCCCTCAGGCATCAGGGACTCCCAGTATGAGAATGAGATAAGAAATGATTAGGGGTAACATAAAGTACTTAAAAATTAACTGATTCTACCCCACTTTTCTCTTTTCTAAAGAGAAATGAGTAAGTAGACGACTGTTTGCTGTCCTGCCCACCTCATAGCTAGATTTAACTTTACAGTCTTCCACATGAGCGCTAATGAGCTTTATTCGCTCCGTTCCATATTGTATGTGCACAAGTGTGACTTATATGCCTTTAAAAACTTGAAAGGAACAGATGACTCAAACAGAGCTGAGTCACTGTTATTTAGCATGTTATTTATCACACTTGGCTTACTGGTCATCTTGGTGCCTACCCTGCGGCCTCCACTGGACCTGCCTTTCCCACCTCATCCTTCACAGCCAGGCATGAATTACAAAGATGCTTAGGATGAAGGGCACATTCTGATGCTGGGAGACGACTCACACTGCTCAAAACATGGTGATTGTTACTGTTTAAATATGAAATGTCCTCCAGAGGTTCGTGTGGTGATGGTCACAGCACTACTTTGGGAAACCCGGAGCCCTTAGGGGGGTGGGGCCTACATGGAGGATGTAAGTCACTGAAGTTGGTCTCCTGTCCCTTGCTTGCTCTCTGGTTCCCCTTATGGTGTTAGTTGCTCCATCATGTCCTCCTTGCCACATGAACTAAAACCTCTCAAACCATGAGGTAAGCAAATCTCTCCTCCTCTTAAGTTTATGCCAGATAGTTGTCACAGTGATGAAAAAGCTATGTAACATGGCAGCACAGCACTTTTTTTTTTTCATCTACTAGATTAACTATGTAAAACAGCAGGCTCTGTGCTCAGCCCTCAGGGTACATGAAGAAGGAGCCAGAGTCTAATGCAGTCAGGCTTGGGTAATTTGACTTTGACTTCCTTTTCTGGAGTGGGTGTCAGTATTTCAGCGTCCCTAACAGGGCTCTAAAGCACAGCCACCATTGAGAACTGCTGTGGTGGGAGTCAAGGGGACAGTCAGGGAGCAGGTGCCAGTGCAGCCCTCTGAATTAGCGGGTAAAGCCAGGCCCCTGCCCCAGAATCCCTTCAGTCTTCCACCATGAGGCCCCTTGCCCACATTTGCCTTCTCAATGCCGTACAAGGTTCTGGACCAACCAACTTTAGACACTAGAACTGCAAGGTGCCCTTGGTTGCTGACTGAATCCCAACTCATTTTCCTCTGGGGAAGTGTATTCTGCTTCCTGCTCTGCTGCCTGTGTCCGGCTCCTACACAAGGTCCTGCTTGCTGTCTGGGTTCTTCTCCTACCTGCTGCTGTGTTTCTCTGGCAAGGATACCTACAAGCTGCAGTGCCAACACGTTGACCTCCAGATCACCCCAGGCCAGGTCTCCCTTGTCTCCTATCTGATCTGGCTCACCTGAGCTCTGCCTCCATTGTTGGCGTGATGCCATCGTCAACAGCAGATACAGTTTAAAAGTATCAGACATTAGGAAGAAAATGTCCTTTTTAGGCACCACCAAATGTACTAAATAGTTCTAACCTGTTCTGTCTGTAGATTTCTTTCGATAAGGGCTATCTTGGGGAGGCACAGCAGGCACACGGAGGCTGCTGTCTGGGTTCTCATTACCAACACAATTAGACTTTGTTGCTGGACCTGGGCAGCATCTTTGACTTCAAAGGGAGGCCAGTGATCCTGCTGACTCCTGAGGATTAAGTGAACTTTTAACTGAAACCCAATTACACTTGAAGTATCTCATGAGGTGTATTTGATAAGCTTTATTTGCTGCCCAAGAATTTAATAATGTATCACAAGTGAAGGTGTTCTTCTCAAATAAAAAAGGCTAAGGATTCCTATGACCTGAAGAGAAACCAGAGTATTCTCTGAACTAAGTTTGCAAGTTTCAATCCCCAAATCTTGAAACTGATAACATTTCTCCCCTTCTTCCTCCTACTCATTCTAGCATAAAGCTGGCAAAACAATACACTTAATCTTAGTAAAAGAAATAAATAGGAAAAAAATAAATAAGTGATTTTAGGCTATATTTAAGTTTTGCTGGCCAACGACTTGCAAAACACTGAATCCTAATTTCTACCCTGTGCTGTGCAGATTTTTATGAATGTCTGTCCTAGCTCTCACTCTACCAAGCTGTAAACGCTGTTGTTCCCACATGATCACAAACATAATGAGTAGCACAGTACTCCCAGGGCACATACAGGACCTTGCCATGTAGGAGCAGCTTCAGACATTCATGTTGCAAGAGTGAGCATGCCTGCTGACTATAAACAGATCCAAAATGTCACTTTTGACTTTTTGTGTCCAAGGAGTCTTTCCTGCGCTGTGAGTAGGTAGGCATATCCATATTGCAGCTGTTGATGAAAGTTCTAGTCCAAGAATTGCATCACCATAGATGCAACTTTTGGTACCTATTCCAAATCAGTAACACAAAACTTTCACCCAGGAGGTCAATAGCCAACCCTGGAGAGATGGCTCTGCTAATGCCACATCTGGTGGCCTGCCACTCTGAAGGCTCTGATTGAGAAAATAGGTTGATTTGAGTTTCCTTTAATCAAGTTGGGAAGCTTCAATGGTGCTTTTGATCTGCTAGACTAAGAAGAGTTCCCTCATACCGTAATATAAATGCTCTCTGACGGTAGACATTGCACATGAGTACTTATGAATGTCTATTTGGCACCATTGATATCCACACATTTGACAACTGAGGGGTCTGAGTCCTCATATAAGATGTATGTATGTATATAACATGTCCTGGTGTCTTCATATGTCTGTTCCTAGCATCATTCTGCTTTTGTTGGAATTCTGCAAAGGGTACTATGAAGTGTGGCACTCCCTGCCTCACTTCATAAAGATCACTTTTGCCAGACACCCTTCTACAAACTAGCTTAGGAGCAGATGAAAGCAGTTGTGAAGAAACGGATGTAGTGGGCAGACTGTTCCTCAGCAGGTGCACTGTTGATAGTTTTCAAGTCATAGGAGTTTTCAAGGAGTAGGAGTTTCCTGTGTTTACATTTTCCTCATGTGGAAAATAAATATGACAGTCTCTACTTGCCCTGTGTCCACTTCATTTCTGAAAATAGGGGCACACTAGAACAAAAGCCCTCACACTAGAATGAATAAAAACAAAAGGTAACTGGGTAATAATTTTTACCCTTTACTGTTACTTTCTTTTTTACTTCTTTTACTGGTGCTTTCTTTTATGAGACTTCGGTGAACAGAAATAAGACTTTTAAAACAGAACAAACTGAACAAGAATGGAAATCATCATCATTGTGCAGTGATTAGGAACTAACTGAGCAACGGGCACTAGAAACTTGATTTTTATAATACAGGAGACACTGTCTTCTGGGGCCCACCATGGCTTCCTTGAACTTGGTAGAGAGGGCTGTGCTACTTCAGTCAACCATACACATGGGAATATTGTTCATTTAACCCACGGGTCAGCAAACCATGGCTGATGGGCTAAATCTGGCCTGTTGGCTCTTTGCATCCACAAAGCAATAATGATTTTCATATTTTTAAATGTTTTTTAAAGGCCAGATAGGGTGACACACACCTTTAGTCCCAGTACTTAGGAGGCATATATTGGAGGCCAGCTTGTCTACATTGCAAGTTCCAGACCAGCCTGGGCTACATAATGAGACCTTGTCTCAAAACCAACAAACAAAAACACAGACGATAAAACAGCTGAGAAAACATCAAAAGAAGATTAGTGTTTCAAGGTATGGGAACATAATGTGGAATTCAAATTTCATAGTGTCAATAATGTATAACATTATTATATAATGTGCAGAATGCATGATACTATATGATGCATATAATATATACTATACTATATAACAAACATGAAAAGGTTTTATTGGAGCACAGCTATGCTTGCTTATGTACTAGTCTGTGGTCGCCTTCGTGCCCTGGCAGGCCAAGGTTGTAACAAGGGCCATATGGCTGTAAAGCTGGAAGTACTACCTCGCCCTTAACAGAAAGTGTGCTGACCTCTGGTTTAACTTCAGAGCTGAAATTCTATACAGTCTACATCTGTGTAAGGGTGTGCCCATTCCCTGGGCTACTGTAGCTCCCTGTGTGGTTGGAAAATAGCTTATCAGAGCTAAAAGCCAGGTTTTAATAGGAACAGCCTTCTATGGATGCTTGCTTAGGGTTGGTCCAGGAAGAATACCCTGTGATTGGGTGCTAGCCACAGTAGCTCCTTCGACTACTTCAAACCTGGCCCATCCCTGTTCTGAGGAATACCGGATTGTCACATGCTAAGGGTACAGTTATTGACTGCTCAGATGGTGCCTACTTTTGGCTAAGAGTGAGAAATACGCATTAAATTTACAAGGACAATGTTCGTTTATGTTTTAGTACTGTAATATACTCTTAAATTTTATTTTTATTTTATGCGAATGAGTGTTTTGACCCCGTGGATGTCTGTGCACCATGTGTGTACCTAGTACCCATGGAGGCCAGAAGAGTGTGTCAGATCCCCTGGAACTGGAGTTACAGATGGTTGAGAGCTGCTGTGTGGGTGCCTGGAATTGAACTAGGGTCCTCTGGAAGAGCAGCTCTTTTTTTCTGCTTTGGTACTTGGATTAAACTCTGGCTCCTGTGCATGACAGTCAAATGCTCCACTGAGTGACACCCAAGGGTGGGGATGAATATTAATGAAGAAGTAAGGACCCACCTGGACGTGTTTCTGCCACAACAGGGCCAGCAAGATCAGAAGGCTTTCCAACGCCTGCCTGGTTGATGGCCCGGACTCGGAACACGTAGCTGACACCCTCTTTGAGTCCTTGCACCTGGAATAAGCAGGTTTAGACGTAATGAGTGTCTTATGTCACATAGCAGGTGTGATCTTCTTCTGTAGGTATCATTTCTCACACAACACCAAGGAAATAGGACTTGTGCCCTAGAGCTGACTCTGTCATTCAGGGGGCTTGGACTTCGACTTTCTGTGGACCAGCTGTCAGTGGAAGAGTTGCTGAAATCCCTTCCAATCCAATGTCATTCTCACATCCTCTCTCTTAGATAAATTAAGCACCTCCAAAATCAGAAATATATTACATCTTTCTGAAAAGCATGCATAATTTGGATGAGTTAGCTGTCTTATGCTTTGGTCCAAAAGGTAAAATACAAGGTGTTCAAAATAGCATTTATGTTACACACCTCGAAGTGATTCCCTTGGCAAAAAAAAAAAAAAAAGACATTTTGCATTTGCTCAAAAGTATATTACAGATTCTGGAGGGATGGCTCAGAGGTTAACAGTACTGGCTGATCTTCCAGAGGACCTGGGTTCAATTACAGGCACCCACACAGCAGCTCTCAACTGTCTGTAACTCCAGTTCCAGGGGATCTGACACACTCTTCTGGCCTCCATGGGCACTAGGTACACACATGGTGCACAGACATTCATGCAGTCAAAACACTCATTCCCATAAAATAAAATAAAAAAATTTAAAAGTATATTATAGGACTAAAACATAAACAAACATTGTCCTTGTAAATTTAATGCCTAATTATCACCAAATAGACAGGAGACTAATATAATTGTGAGTTTTAAAAACATTTATGAGTAATCAAAGTGTATTAAAATTCTACACCCTCTTAGAGAACCAGCCCATATGTCCACCAACAGTTGAGTTGATGAAGGAAATTTGATAACATTCATACAATGGAATTTTATTTGGCTGGGGAGAATGAAATTATAAAATTTGCAGGAAAATGGGTGGAACTGGAGGTCACTGTGCTAAGTAAAATATGCAAGTCTCAGAAAAACAGATACCTTGCTTCATCTCACACATGGAGCACAAACTTAAATGTTTATGTATGGAAGACATAAAAGTAGAAAAGGAACTATGAAAGGAGAGGGAAAAGCCTAAAGGGAAGGAGAACGGGGACGGAGAGAGGTTAGTGGGACTTATGTGATATGAAAGTGACAGGAAGAGGAAGGAGGCCAGCTACAGGCCACGGGGACAGAAAGCAGGGTGAGCTGGGGGGGGGGGCTAAAAACAAAGGGTAATGACGCCTGTGTTACAATGTTACAGTGAAGCGTGTGTTACAGTGTTACAGTGGAACCCATTACTTTGCAAGCTGACAAAAATAATTAAACATATTCTACATCCTTTATTTTAAAAGTTATTTACTGTTGTCTGTACATAATGGGATGCGGATACTGGCCATGCCACAGCACACTTGTAGGAGAAAGAGGATAACCTGTGAGAGTCAGATATCTCCTTCAGCATGTGGAGTCTGGGGACTGAATTCGGATTGCCAGGCTTGGCAGCGAGTGCCTTTACTTGCTGAGCTTGGTCAAGTATCCTCAGCCTTACCACCAAGGGGTTTTTGTTTGTTAGTTCTTAAATTTTTATGTGAAAGAGTATTTTGCCTGCAGGTATGTGCGTGATTACATGCTTGCCTGTGAAGGCCAGAGGAGAGCAGCAGGTCCCTGGGATCTGGAGTTACAAATGGTTATGAGTGGCCATGTGAATGCCAGGAGCTGAACCTGGGTCCTTTGCATGGCACAGAGTTTCTCCGACCCTCTCAGGTTTTAAATAATCAGGAGGGTTGCTAAGAACATGTTTCATAAATTTGTGAGTTGGTTTGGGCTCTGTGCTGTTTATTGTTCCCAGTATTAACAATGCTGTTAATATTATTTATCAAAATTATTTTTATTTTTAAAACATATAATTTAAAAGAGTTGTTTTAGGAAGGAATTTATTATACCCAGGAGGTGTAGTTTCTCCCCTAACATTGTGGTAGAGATCAACATTGAAATTTGATTTAAACCAAACAGTGCTGGGGAACATGTAGTCAATAAACAAAGCCTTTGTGACTACGAATGCAGATTAACTATGCTTAGACTGTTAGGTTTCAAATCTAACTGTTGGATTGGGTTCCAATGGCAGCATAATATTATTATATAGTGATAGCTCTCACTGGAGCTAATGAATTTAGTGTAGACCAGACCGGTCTGGAACTTACTACAAAGTGGAGGCTGACCTTGGACTCCTGGTTTTCTTGCTTGTCTCCCAAGTGCTAGGATTACAGGCTTGCCACCCCACCTACCTGAGGTAATGAATTTTCAAAAAATAATTTCAAAATTGCAAATGAACTTGAATTAGAGCACAGGCTAAATACATAGAGTTTAATATACTTCAAATTCTACATTGAGAAATAATGCTAAGAAAGGAACAGAAATATTTTCTTATTGTTAAAAACAGACCAGTCACCAGGTGCCTGTCATGTCTGTACCTGACACGTAGGTGACGGGTGGCTGTGAGCTGGGCTTCCATAACACAAGGGAGAGACCCTCATTTCACAGGCCAGTCAGCATTCACAGCAGGACATCTGCACTCTTCCATCACCCCAGCACAAGGACGACACCATGACTAACTCATCATCTATGCATTCATACTCTTGGATTTCTTTTCCTCTCCTATAATCCTAACAGGAATTATATTCTGTCTCCATCCATCCACTCCTGTCTCACACTCTCTAATTATCAATACAGTTATGAACTGTTTAGTATGAATATGGTATACAAATTTTGAGTGGTTGGTAAAGTCACACTAATTAAGCTATAAGCTATGGAATCCTATTCCTTGCCCTGCTACAAATTTAGGATCTTCAGGTACTCTCTGTCCCCACTCCAGGGGAAAACAATCTTTTGTGGGCTTCCAGCCAAGACAAGTGAGAGAACCCGTTGCTTCCAAACAGCATCTACGTCAGTCAGGCACAGGTTCAGCAAGCACACTCAGGGAAACTGGAGGCAGTGACATGGTTAGGGTGAGGTGAAGGTCAAGAGTTGCTGAACCCATGCCAAGGGGTTCATGCGAGCACAGGCATGCCAGAGGAAGTAAAATGAGAGGGGGCATGACTCCGGAGAACCTGTGTGAACTCTGTAAAAAGAGCACCGTCCAGGAAAAAGCTACTGTCAAAAACTACTAGAGGAGGAATGAGAATCACCTTTTGGGGATAGCAACGAGTGGTAATGTTTAAAGATTGTGCAGAACAAAACCGTGAGGAAGTCTAAGAAAAGAGGGAAGGAGGCGGGGGGGAAGGGGACTGGTAGATGCCTTTCAAAGCCAGATTAAGAATTCAGGTGAAATGCCACCAAACAATTTCAAGCATCAAAAATTTCCCCAGCCTTAATTACTGCCAAGTGGATGGAACTTACCAGGAAGGAGCCCGATATATGACACTGACTCTCATTATGATAGCTTAGTATTAGTAGTTTCCCTGTATAGAGAGAAAAACGTCCTGCAAGTCACAGCGCATTTTCTTACCCTCAGGTACTTGTTCCCAATGGCTGCCTCATTGAGTCCTCGCCACTGGTCATCTTTGGCACTGGCTTCCTTCAGGTCCACAAAGTAACCAGTGACTGGAGTGCGGCCTGAGTAGACTGGAGGCTTCCACTGGAGGACCAGGGAGTTCTTCCTGACTTCACTGATCTTCAGGCTGTGTGGTGGTCCTGAGTGAGGGACAGAGAGTGGAGGAGACTCACCATGAGTACCTTCACACTCACATCTAGGGTCTCTCAGCTGATTCTCAGGCTGCTATTCTCTGTAGAAGTCTACCAGACTCCTGAAAGTAGGCATGTTGTAGCCACTGCAAGTTTCTTCAGTGGCCGAGCAACAACTTATTGAGCCACAAGTGGTCAAGGGCATGTCCAGATACCTCTTGGAGCTGGATCAAGCATCTCTTTGGCTGTTCTTGGGTGGACATGCCATCACTGATTTCAATTCTCTTACAGCAGTTAGCACACAGTCCACAAAAGCCAAGTAACTTGATAACGCTCTGAAGAAACAAATACTATGGTGTGTGCTGTGTGTACACGGCTGCATTTCTAAAGAGTCTAAACAGTGATGTCACCACCTGTATCTTTGTGTGACCACTGACTGCTACTTAAGTGATACACATATTTTTTCAAATAACAACTTCTGTCTAAAAAGCTAATCAGAATCACCTGAAGTGACTCACAGTGACTTGACATCAGCTGCAAACACTGACACTGCCATTCTTTGCTTCAGCGTTTTGCAACTGATATAGTTCAATATTTGCCTTACTATTTTCCTGGCTTAGACATTTCAAATATGTACCATTCTTATTTTCCAATGTCACCTATGGAAATGGTGGTTCTTCTGGGACACAGGGTTTCAGACAGAGGAAAGGGTGGCATAGGGGGAGGAATGGGCAGGGTGGCTATCTGGAATGTTTATAAAATCTAAGATTGTATCATGCCAATTATTAGATATGCTGATTATCAAATCCAGGAATCCTGTGTCATTCAGAATATTTGGGTCTCAGAAATCAATACCAGAATCAGAAGAAAAATTAAAATCATCTACAATGTACGCATTAGTAGATGGGACCTTACTACTTAGTAAATCTGTTTGTAGTCAGTGTTTATATGTGTTTGGTTTTATGGCACCTTATGAAGTGTAAGCATGGGTAAGTTTTTCTGCTTAGTTCTTTTTTTTCTTCCTCATGAACCCAGCCACCTCTGTGACAACCTCCACAGCAGACCATCTGCAAACCAGATTCTGAGACTGCTGAGGGAAGGGGGTGGTGTGTGGACATGCAGATACTAAGGCTAAGTAGAGAGAAGTCAGGCTCACACCGCAGGCAGGCATGAGAGCCCATGTAGAATTATGGAGAGCTAGGACCAGGGAGGAGGACAGATAACAGGGAGAAGCCACCATCTGGGCTGAGTTTCTGGAAGGAGATCTGGGTGTTGACAGGTGAGCACTTCAGAGCAGAACAGCCATGAAGGATGCAGGAAGTGGTTCTGAAAATAAATTTGCTGTGGGATACGAACTGGTGCTCTCAGGTGGCCTCTAAGAGACAAATGAAAACTTTGGGAACCCTTCCAACGCTTGCTTGGCACCCAAACCGTGCGTTTCTGTCCAAACAGAGGCCGAACAATGGCAGCTATGGGTTTTACTTGAAAGAGGAGCATGAGGAATTTATTTTCAAGGTGACACCTTGCTGGCTATCATTTATCTATTATTTAAGCCATCATAAAATATTTTAGCAAGCATACTCTTGTCTCTTAAATGCCATCTAGGTGGTACTTCAGTTAATTCTAACTTGTAGATTTTGTTGGAGGAAAGACACAAAATTAAAGTCATCTACAATGTATACATTACTAGCTGGGACTTTACCTGGTACCGCAATGGTCCATTCTTCACACTTGAAGCATTCGCTCACTGCAGAGGGTGCTCCCAGCCCCGCGATGTTCATGGCTGACACTTGGAACTGGTACACTGTGTTTTCCTTCAAGTTGCTAATCTATAACATTGGTAACACCACAAGCAGTTGTTCAGCCTTTTATTTAACTCTGTGTCACAAATATACCCTATGGTGATCTAGTTTTATTCCGTGTGTTTAACATTTAACTTATTTATTTTATGTGTTGGATATATCCTGGCATGCCCCCCCTGTTAGTCACGCATTTATAACCACATTCCTGCCTGCAGCCTAAAGAACGTTCTCCTGTAACTTCAGTTCCAGGGACTCTGATGTCCTCTCTTGGGCTCTAAGGGTACCTGCAGGCACATAGTACATATGCAGACAAGCAGGTATACACCCATAAGCGTGAATAAAAATAAAATGCAAAAATCAGCAATTGTGCCAGGTGTGATGTTGCACAACTTAAATCTCAGAACCTGGGAGGCAGAGATAGGTAGATCTCTGTGAATCTGAGGCCTTCCAGGGCTAGTCAGCAACTTCCAGGTCAGCCAGGTGTCTGTCTCAAAAGACAAACCAGACACAAACCAAAGACTGGGTAATTAGTAATATTAAAAAGCACAAATCAATAAAATACAGTAGGATATAAACTAGGAAGAGGGTAAGTGAATTAAAATATTTTAAGGTTTTATGTTTCTGAAATGAGGGTAAAACAAAGAGAATAACACCAAATTCTAATTGTTTTTCCGCCAACCATAAGCAATCAACCTCAAATCACAGGATATATCTTTCAATGTAGAATAGGGGGAAATGAAATGATTTTGATTTTTTTTTTTGAGACAAGGTTCCTCTGTGGCTTTGGAGGCTGTCCTGGAACTCACTCTGTAGACCAGGCTGGCCTCAAACTCGCAGAGATCCGCTTTCCTCTGCCTCCTGAGTGCTGGTATTAGAGGCATGTGCCACCACCACCTGACAAGTTATGCTATTTCTAACAGATGCATAAAAAGCATTATAGAAAGACTGAAAATTAAATAATGAAAAATTATGTGCCATGTAAACACCAACTAAAAGAAAAATCTATGCATTGTCGTTAATAATTGAAAGCATAGCCTTCAAGGCAAAGCTTACCCTCAGCACTAAAGACTCACTTTGCATTCATCTAACAAGGTCACCTCAAAGATACATAAAGTGTCATTTAAATGAGGAGGCTTACTTGTGAACAATTTTCCCTTCCTGTCCACTGTTCAAATCATTCATTGGCATCAAATTCTAGCCAGTCTCGGGATAATCTCATTCATTAACACTACATCAGGAAGTTTGGATGATAATGAAATAGATAAAAATAGTATAAAGAATGTCAAAGGGACACAGATTGTTTTCAGTCAATTACTTGACTATATTACATTAAAATTAAAGGAGAAATAGTGTATGACAACGCTGACTCTTGCTTTTAATAATTTGAATTCACTTTTAATGAACAAGGACTACGATAAAACTTTCCTTTATTGGGTAATACTGGCTACAAAATAACTACAGCAAATATAATGCTGATGCTGCAATGTTTTTATTATAAGATAAGGACAAGGACTGGTGCTGTGGTCAGTGATAAAGTGGTTATCTGGCATGCATGATAAAAGCATGGCTCCCAGCCTTAGCATTTTAAAAGCAAAACAAGGTGTGGTGCCAAGTGGCTTTAACTCCAGTACTCTGGATGTGAGGCAGGAGGATTGCTGCAACCTAGGAAAGCCTAGGTTACATAATAAGACCTTGAGTCAAAAACACAAACAAACTAACAAACAAAACCCAAAGGATCTTGTGTAGAACGACAACATTGCCTTGTTAAAGGTCTCAGGGGGAAATTAATTAGAGAAAATGAAACAAAAGTATAAGGTCTGGATGTGAAGGATACAAATGGATTATTTGTATTTGATAGGACTTTTTCTAAAGAGACTCCCAAGGAGCTTATAAATTAATGTTTAAATTAACAAAACTAAAACAGCCATATGTAAAATCACTATATATTATTTGCATTTTTTATTTCTGTGAGTTGTCCTCTGACCTCCTAAGGTATGCCCCCCAACCCCCCAGCAAAATCAATGGAGGCAAACACTAATGCTCATGGCTTAGAAGAATCAATATTTTTTTTAAGATTTTTATTTATTTATTTATTATGTATACAACATTCTGCTTTCATGTATATCTGCACACCAAAGAGGGAACCAGACCTCATAACGGATGGTTGTGAGCCACCATGTGGTTGCTGGGAACTGAACTCAGGACCTCTGGAAGAGCAGCCAGTGCTCCCAACCTCTGAGCCATCTCTCCAGCCCAAGAATCAATATATTTAATGTGTCAATTACTCCTCAACTTACTGATAAATTCTATGTACTCTCCATCAGAATAGGTTTTAGTTTGACTTATTATTTTCCTTATACTTGGTCTTGTTTTTTTTTTGGCAGAAAGAACATAGTAGAAACATAATTTTATAATTTATATCAAAGTGCAGAGAGCTAAGAATAACCCCGAAAATTTAAGGAAATGGGAGAATGTGGCTGTTTACTATAAAACAGTAATAACTGAATTAGTGGGATATTAGTTCAGGGCTGGACAAACTGACTAGCAGAGTGGAATTCAGGGCACAGAGACAGACACAAACACAAGAATAATGGGGGAGAGGGTGGATTTCATTTGGCGGCTCTGACACGGCTGTGTCTCCATCGGGAGACAATCAGCCTTGACCATCAGCTCACAACATATACAAACTTCAAAGGGGAATTAATGACTGAAATATAAATGGCTGCAAACCCTCTAGGGCAGTGGTTCTCAACATTCTAATGCTGCAACCCTTTAATACAGTTCCTCATGCTGTGGTGACCCCAACCATAAAATTGTTTTCATTGCTACTTCATAACCATAATTTTGCCTCTGTTGTGAATCATAATACAGACATCTGTGTTTACAGATGGTCTTAGGACCCCTGTGAAAGGGTTGTCCAACCCCAAGGAGGTTGCAACCCACAGGCTGAGAACTACCGCTCTAGAACATAACCAGACGCAGGACCTCTGTGGTCCTGGCATAAAGGAGACCTTTCTTCAAAAAGGCACCAGGATCACTGACTATGTTTACTGTTGTAAACTCATTTGACATTCCAGATATCAAATCTGAGAATGTCTGAATAGCCACATGTGGGCAAAGATGCAGAGCAGGGACTACAAACATCAGGAAGCAGTATAGAGAAAAAAATGGAGCCTTGGACACAACAACTCTACTTTGGTAATGGCCTAGAGAAACCATTGCATGTATGTACTAGCAGATATGTTCATTGCTGTATTGTGTGATGCAGCTAAAACCACATTAAACAGCCCACGCAGCAATCAATAAGGGAATGGTGCACATATCATAGTATAGTCACATGTTGGAATACCATATGTTATAAAAAAAAAGCTGTACATAGCAACATGGGAGAATGTTAAGGATACAATGTTGTAGCTGGGTGTGGTGGTGCATGCCTGTAATACTGGTACTTTGGGGATGGAGGAGTAAGATTACAAGTTTGATGTTATCCTGGGCCACATAATAAAAACTTGTGACAGAAAACAGAAACAGAACTATTTTGTGTTAGCATGCCCAGTCTGTGTGTAATATTTCATAAATTTCAAATATTAAATAGAGTGTGGCATTGACTTCAAGATGGGCTATTTCCTGGGTGGGTCTTGTTCTGTATGTACTTTCACTGTGTTGGGGTGTCCGTGAGTGCTGGCGGGTTGGTATCTGGACCGAGCAGGTGATGCTCTAACAAAGACCAACAGCTGTGCCAACAGAGAGTCCTTGAGGGGTCTGTGTTAGGCAGAGTAGTAGAGGAGAATGTATGTTCTTCTTTCTGGCCATAAGAGCCACTATTTTAGGGAACACACCAGAAGGAGGAGGGCCAAATGAGCCATGCCATCATGATTTTAACTGTGAAAAAATTTTAAAAGTCCAGAGTTATAGGATCTAGCAATGTCTGAGGCTAGTGACATAGTTACAGAAGTTTTTTTAAGTTTTGAAGGAAAATACTAGTTATCATAATAAATGCACACTTTGTGGTAAATATTCTTTTAAAAAAATCATGCTTACATGTATGAATCAGAAAATGTAAGGCCTGCTTGGCCAGCTATACTAATCTTATCTACCAAGGGATTTTTTTTTTTTTTTACAAACTCACACTGGTGCTGACAATGAACATTGGCAAAATGACACAAACCCTTTAACAGTTGTGAGTGTGTACATGCCAGCACTGCCTCATTCACAGGATACATCACACCACAGAGATAGGCATGCCTACCTTGTATGCTGCATCACTGACGGCCTTGATGTTGGCTTCTCTCCATTTTCCTGGCACCCCACCAATTACCTCACGATAGTTCACATAATAGCCCGTAATCTCTGCCCCTCCAGTCATATCTGGTTGCTTCCATCCAAGAACCATTGAGTCACGAAAACTTTCGAGACAAGTGATGTCATAGGGTGGAGATGGTGCCGCTGTTGCAATATAAATAGCTCGTAAGAGAGAGGCATTTATGATTCTGTACACATCCGCCAGGCTTACCTGGTACCATGTGGGGAGCACTAGATTGTAGTATACAATGAAACTGTGATACAGATCTGAAACTTGGCACCTGACTTGGTGTATGAGGAAAAAAAAAAAAAACAGACATTGAGAAAATATACTGAAATCATTAAACTGAGTCGTAAAAATCTTGTCTGGCAAAATGCTACATCCTCCAAATAATGATCTTTTTCCCATAGGAAGGAACATTTCCCTCAAGAGCTATACTTTTTGTGGTTTTGTTTTTATTCTATCTCTGATGACAACAGAACGTGCACATATCTTGCCTTCTGTCTCAGTTTGCTTATTCGGCATCTCCATACATTTCCAAACGGCTTCATTTTCATGTACACTTACCCTGAGAGACTTTGTACTGTATACTCCAGTCAGGAAAATGTCCTGGATCTCAGTTAAATGTACCTTTAAAAAATACTCTATAGCACGAGGCACAATCTGCCGTATGACTTTCTCTTGGTAGATACACGTTTATCATGGTATTTTAAACTCCTATGATTTTAAACTCCTGGTACTAGAGTGTTTTACATAGCACAAAATACTATGTAGCTATTATTGCATTTGCTAGTGCCTAGCTAGAAAAATGTTTGAAGGTTACTTCAAAACTCATAGTACATTACACGGCTTTGCTGGTCCCCTTTACGTTTGGCCACTTTTCAACGAAGAGAAAAAAGGTACAGCGATAGCAAGAAATATATCTAGATATGCAGTATATCAGAGAAATTTCCAAGGATATGGTTTGATTATAGGAGTTATAGAAATTATCACATTCCTATTCAAAACAACTTTCAGAACAAAGAAAACCTTTAGAATAAAGTCCCCTCTCTCTCTCTCTGTCTCGAAAACTTTCTGTCTCTCTCTGTGTCTTTCTCTCTGTCTTTCTCTCTCTCTCTCTCTTTTCAGAGCACTTATGAGGACGGATCCTCAAGTAACCATCCCATTTCTTCTTAGTTAATGGCATGAATAAGGGTTCAAAATAAAAGAGTAGAGGGATTATGAAATTGGGGTGGGTAGAGACGGGGAAATGGGCAGGAGGCACTTAAAACTTATCAGCACTTTTATGGTTTATATGGTCTCCTGGAACACACATGTAACCCAACCAGCTCACATTTAGGTTTCTAATAAACCATCTCCAAGAGTCCCTTCTGGGAAGGAGTATTCTGCATCATGGAATGTCGTTCTCTATGGCTATAGCACCATTCCGAACTTTTCAGAACGGCTAAGCTAGTGATCTGAATGAAATCTGAACAGTCACTTAAAAACCTGAAGATGAACAATGGAACTTGGTACACCTTCATTTCATCGTGAAATCTTTTCCTCTACACGTGTGTCAAAGAGATCACATCAAGGTCAGTCAGCTTCACACAACCTGACTAATCACTAAGTCCTTCCTATCCTCACGTCTCGAGTATCTTCCTGACTAACTCTCCCTCATTCAAAAAGTCCCGTAAACATTTTGTCATTGCTCAGGCTAAGAAATAATGCGTACAAGCCGACCCCACAGGGTGACTTTGATAGTGTATTAGATGAAAGCATGCCGAACGCCAACGGAGACATAAAATTCAGAACAGCGAGTGGGGGATGGACACAGATGGAGAGTATGATCTGGACAATGAGGGGTGATCACACTGATGGAGACGATGAAGGGCGGGCATGGCAGTTCTCACCTACGGGGTCCTTCTTCTTTTTCAGGGGCTCAGGTTTACTTTGCTCCTTGGGAGCTGCCTTCTGTGGTGGCGGGCTGAGTTCCTCCCGCACTGATTCACTTACTTTACCCCGGCTGGAAGGGCTACTGGGTGGTGAAGTTTTGTTAGGTTGGCTACTGAGCAAAGCGTCTTTTTGAGAGGTTGGTGGGGAGGCTCCATTCATGCCCCCCCTGGAGTCTGTTAGTCCGCCAGGAGCATCACTCAGCTGAAGCCACACATCTGGAGACACTCCTCCCCCTACAGTCACCAGACAACAACAGAAACGACATAAGCCAGACCCCATATATGTTACTCTTGGATAACAGAACAAACAGAAGTGTTAGGACTACAAGCAGAGCATAAAAACAATCTTGGCTTAACAGAATTTATACCAGGGAACATTTCAACCTCTCCATTTTTTTGGAAAAAGAAGAAACAAGAGCAAAACCATACCACAGACTGAACAGCAACCATTTCTTTTTGCAGAACCCAAAGGGTTTTAGTTTATACAGGAAAAGGCAAATCTCAGACAATTCTTGAGAGACAATATGCTCTAATATTGAACTTAGTAGAGAAAGGACCACAGAGTGCACGAGACACATTATTAAAGATCCCAGCTGCATAACAGAATCATGACTGTTAGTGCAACAGCAGTGAACGGTACCTCCCAACCCCCAAAAGAACTACTGCCTACCTTAAAACAATGGCAAAGAAGAAAACTAACTTTAAATCTGTTTTTCGTTGTTGTTGTTCTGTTGCTTTGGATTTTGAGTCAGAGTCTTGCTATGTAGCCCAGGATGACCTTGAATTCTTAATTCTCCTGCTTCAGCTTGCCCAGTTGCCGTGATTATAGGTAAGCACCATTGCACCTGCCTAATCTTTTTATTGCGGTTTTACACAGCATAACTGCATGCTCAACTACTGAGATACACACTCAATCAAATATTTCTCTTAATACGTTAGCATATTACAGATCTTATTTTATCTTATTTTTCTGAATTAGCTGGGTCCCTTTCCCACCCTATCCAAGACTGGGGGGGTATGACACATATATACATATAATTACTGTATTAATGGTGTTACTCTGTTAGTTTGCAAACAGATGAACTATGTGTCTTGCATGACTTTTAGAGGCATTTTTAAGAAGCATGGCAGTCTGTTACTGTTAGGAAAAGGCAGCAGAGCTCTGCTGCAGATGAAACGGCGTTTAGATACAAGATGATGGAGTTATGGTGAGGAGTTCATGGAAGAGGAATGGCCTGTCAGGTCCCAGGATGAACATGGAGTTAGCATGAAGTTTCACTCAATGGGGAATGTCTGAGGAAACTGGAGTGATGAAAGACGAGAGTGCTACAGAGGTACAGATGCTGGTAAGTGATGAGATCAAGGGTTAGTTGTCAACTAGAGCCAAAGAGAAATGGTCATTTAATGGGGGGGGATCATGAAATTAGAAACTTTAAACCATTTTTGGAGGTGGAGAGTTGGAAAATTCATTTGTATTCCTCGACTAAATTACAAAGAAGGAGCTTACCAATCGCAGCTTTGACTTCAATGGCTTCCGAATCCTGGGAATATTCACTAAGTCCAGCTGCGTTCACTGCTCTGACCCGGAAGATGTAGCTCTGACCAGTGGCCAATCCGTGACAAGTAAATCTAAAGGAGAGAAAAAGCTCTCAGATCCGTGACAAGTAAATCTACAGGAGAGAGAAAGCTCTCAGAGCCTTTCCAAGGAGGATTAGGGAGGATGACTGGCAGATTAGCTGAGTGATCTGAGTGGCCTGGCTTTATGAAAAGATTCATTTTTCAAAAATGAGACCTTCAAGTAACATATGCACCTTAGATAAGAAGGTGATATGGGCAATTTTTAAATCTGTTTAAAAAAAATGAGGAGTCCTGGCTTACCCTGAAATGTTCATTAGAAAATGTTCAACAGGGAAACAATAACATTACCACATATTGATTCTGCATAAAGAATGAGTGATCTAGTGTTTAAAATACCATTAGTGGGTCTGAAACAAATGAGGCAGTTAATAAATAATAGGTGTACTGACAATATTTCGAGTAGCTATTTCAGGTATATACTTAAAATGCAAGGTACTGAGATAAATCCTGTCATAGACACTGAGCCGCCACCTTCTTTATGCCAGGGAAGGAATCATTGCTTGAGAAATTGCACTGGAATCTGAGACAAAGTGAAAAATAGTTTCCAGAATTGCCATTTAGATGCAAAGATCCAACAACACAGTGTGAATCCACAGTAGTCTCCCATTTAAAACCACCTTACTCCTTAACATCCACAACAGCTATAAATAGTATTTCACAAACCAGTGGACCATTAAACCAGCCTTGAAGACTAACCTGGGAAATAGTCTGCTAAGGACTCTCTCCCACACACTTGTTGGATAGTTAATAAAGGAAGTCAAATCTCAATCTAGGGTCAACTTGGTTTGGTGAATATTTATTGAGCACATTAGAGGTGAAGACATGGGACTGGTTGTCATAGGTATGATGACAATAGCAACAGTGTCTTCCCTTCACTGACTGGCTCCTGCTGTTTTGTAGAAAGGTAGATTTCTGGGCTCCTGGGCTTCTGAATGCCCAGGGTGAAGATGGACTACACGGACATCTCAGTATAAGAAATGAATGTCATGCTGGTCTCCAGCCTCTCAGGTTCTGGTTCCACCCATCCTCTGGGAGTGCAAGGCCTTGGGAAAGGGCTAAGACAGAAGCTGTACAACAAGCCTGTCAGACACTTTACAGGGAACAATTATCAAATTGGTCCTAAATTACTCAGGCTCAACTGGTTGAGAAAATAATTAAAGGCAAGAAGAAAACTACTCTCCCCACATTGAAAACAGAGAAAAAGAGGTGACAAACTGCCAGAATTTGTTTTCCATTTGCTTGGTCCTGGGTTTAATCATGTTGATGTTCAGAACTTGTAGGGTGCTGATATTCTGTTTTCTGTCCTTAGGTTTTCATGTTTTGTAATAACTCTTTCCGCCAGCCGCCAGAGCCCCACCGCCATGTTAGGAACCCCAAACAACACACAGAGTCTTATGCTGCTGGCCAATGACTAGGATTTCTCATTTGCTAGTTCTGTCCTAAGTATCAACCATAACCATCAATCTATATATTTTATAAAGACTTATCAAGTACACTGGCCTTATGCATCCTGTCTTCCCGGGGGATCACATGGCGACTCCATCTCTTTCTTACCTTTCCCAGACTCCTCCTCGACTCCTAGCCCCACCTATCTGGCTTTCCTATTGGCCAACAGTGCTTTATTTATCAACCAATAAGACAAACATATACACAGAAGGACCTCCCTCATCAATGTTTGGTAGAGCCTGTTAGGTCCTTGAAGTCTAATATCATTTTGTATGTGAAAGACCAGAGAATAACAATGGAAAAAGATAATCAAAAGAAAAAGAATTAGAGAAGAACTATAAAATGAACTTTTGGATGATATTTTATGTTTAAGTGTTCAACACACACACACACACACACACACACACACACACACACACACACACACATTACCGTGAGCCCTTCACAGGGTTGTTGTTGCAGGGCTCCCACTTGCCAGAGCCAACCACACTGGACTCGATATAGTATCCAACTAGCTCTTTGGCATCTTTGGACTCCTCCCAGGAAACCACCACTGAGGTGTCTGTATTTCTACTTGGGATGATTTTGCCAGGGGCCTTGGGGATATCTGTGTAAAAAAGGAAGTGGTGATCAAACTGAAGGTAGTTTAATATAGTCATTTCCACTGTATATGTGGAAGCACATGCATAAATGCTTACACATTATGTTAAACACACAGTTGCTTTGCTTTACAATGTGTTGCTCAAAATATTATTTAGGAAGCATAATAGTAAATGAAATGTCAATGGACATTGAAAACTATACTAGCTGTTGAAACTCCTGACATTTTCTTTGCATAAACAAAGCAACACTATTTTATTCTTGGTTTTGAATTTTCTCAGTTGTTCAGTCTGACCCTACACTTACCAAGTTTGTCCCCTACGACAGTCACTTCTGATGCCTCTGATGGTTCACCGACTCCTGCTGAATTTGAGCATCGGACACGGAAGCGGTAAGATTTCCCCTCCACCAAGTCGAACAGAGCAAAGCGAGGAGACTTTACTGGGAGTTCTGTGTTGACACGTTGCCAGTTTTCTGTCCCCACGTCACACTGCAGCAGGAACAGTGACATCACTGGAAGCCCCAAGAGCACACAGGGAACTCACACTTATTTACCTGCCAACAAACCACCCCCGTTTCTAGAGCTGAACTGGAGAACAGACGTGGGAAAGGGACAGTTGAGTGCCACGTGTGGCACTGAGCTGTTTGATAAACCGCTGCAACACTTTGTCACCTGTCCATCAGCACGCATGTGAATCTACTGATAGGAATCTTGATTTCAAGGATAGCTACTTCTCTAAGTCTCAGGGTAGGTCATCACTTCAACGAACTGCTTTCAATACTTATATCTGTGCAATGTCACTATGAACTGTGTTACTTTAGTTGAGTGTTATGACTCGTGACACCCTTCAGGCCCACACTTGGCTGCCACCTCCTCAGAAAGGCCTGTGGATCACCTCCCTCCGCCAGTTCAGGTCCTTCTCTCATCACCCTTCCCCCTTGCCCTGCTTTATTCAGCAGTTAAGCCATTTGTCGTTATTTGAAGCTTATTTATTTGCTCTCTCCTCTACCAGAAAGAGCATTCCATGAGCTCGGGGGACCTGCTGGCTCACTGTCCTGCCTCAGCCCAGAAGGACACTAAAAGTTTATTCTCTGAATGAACAAATGAATAAGTTTACAGAAACTCAAAGATGATCCTTTGTGAAATTGTGCCCAAATATATATGTGTGTGTGTGTGTGTGTGTGTGTGTGTGTGTGTGTGTGTGTGTGTGTGTCTGTAATCTACATAGACTTTAACTATTTAAGTATCCCCAATCCAAAATCCAAAACATTTTGAGTGTCTTGTTGGACCATGAATTTGGATTTCTGGATTAGAGATGTTCAGTCTATAGCTGGGTTTATGGATCTGCACCTGGATTATGCATGTTCAAATCCTACCTCTAACTTGCACCTGCTGTGCAATCTGGAGCAAATTATCAAACCCATCAAATACTCAGTTCCTATAAAATAGGTACAATGAAAATAAAAGTATGTCCTTAACAGGGTTTCTTTTAAGAATTAAGTAGGTTAACTAATGTGTGAGATACAGTGATGTTCCCTGGCAAACACCACTTACGTTCATTCTTATAGACACAAGAAGTGCTAGCAAGTAACACTGTTTTGTGTCTGACATAACCAGATTTTTGAAAGGTAAATATAGAAAGTGTCCAAGACATAAGATAACTGAGGGGAAAGTTCAAAAGGAAGACCCTGGTTCACCAGTACTTTCACTACTGAGCCCCCCCCCATAGGGAGACACCCTAGCCCCGCCCAATAGTCCCGGGTCCACCTGGCACCTGTCCCAGGATTATTGGGCGGGGCTATGGTGTCTCCCTACACCCCCTCCCCCGCCAAGTTTCAGTCATCTTAGGAATCATAGCCATGGCTTCAATGTTTTACTGTAAGCCTGTAACATGACAGAACAGCACATAGTTTATACTCATAAAATCCCTGGTGAAAGTCCCTTCAACTGCAAGCATGGGACAGCCTAGGAGATAACACTGTGGCTGCATGGGTGAAAAACATGCCATGGAACCAGTAAGTGAAACTTTATGAAGGCCAACGGCTCATAAAATGGTTCATCAGAAATAATTAGACTCATAGGAGAATCGATTGACATTTAGAGAATTCCGTAATTGCATCCCAGGTCTCTGAACACAGTCTGCATCCTGACTTCTACAACATTCTGGATACTGGAACAGTGAAATATAACCTGTGCGGTTTCTCCATGCAATGACATACTCTTAAATAGTATCTTCTCTTCCATCCAACTGAGCAGGCTGGTAGAAAAAATATTTAATTGTTTAATGATGGATGATATGTATTTTGACCTGGGAAAGTTACAGGCTTTCATGGAAAAATTCAGGTTGGTGTGACCAAAGGAAATGGTCAACCGAAGCCAGCGCTGACTCATCTGAAAACATGTCTCAGAGTGGGTTGTTATACGTCATTCTTTCATCCAAGCGGTAATTACTGGCACAGAATTCATTCAGAGCCTCTTCCTGTGGAGTGTGTCAAAGAACTCAGTGGGCATGGGTGTGTGTTAAATATACCAGGAAATAGACATTTAGCTATTAGCTATCATTGCTTCTATTAAAATAGAAAAAAGCTAAGGATGCTACCAAATGTTTATTTGGGGATAACATTTAGAAAATACAAACCTATAAGTATAATTTTAGATTTCATAAAACCAGACCCTTGGAAGATGTCTATGTTGTTTGGGAAAGTGGTCATGAACTTATTGTTTTATCATCATGACAGAAGGACCAGTAGACAAACAGGCATCACTAGAGCAAGAGAGACAGGGTACTGCTCTAGAAAACACCACCATACAGGCAATCTATAGTTGCAGGAACATGAATGAGTCTCAAGGCACCATGATGAAGATATATATATATATATATATGTATGTATGTATGTATGTATGTATATATATATATATATATATTCAACAGAGACAATTCATAATCCGTAAGAATTTAAAGAGTTTATCCCTGCTGCTGCCTTCCTTTAATCCACTGTTACTAGAAATTAATGTGACTTACGAAGACCATTAGGAGATGGCATAGGTGATAATGGTAGGGTCTTACCTTTTCTACAAAGTACATAATGCCCTCGTGACCTCGCTGGCCAGGGGGTTTCCAGCTCAGCACTACGTAGCTCCGGGTGGCCTCAGTGACAGAGAGGTCTGTGGGGGGGCCAGGAATGACACCCTCTGAAAAACAACAAGGTAAAGTGAGGCACATATTCAGGGGAGCCTGGAACACAGGAGAGCCACAGTGCTCCTCTCTTCCCGGCTCCACTATGTAAAGAAAACTTGTCTCTAAGCTCTTCTTTAAAAAAATCATTCATTCATTCAGTTATTTGGATGACACTGTGCATTTAACATACAAACAGACCAAGGGGACCTGGGACTGGACTTGTCTTTATATGATTTGTGGCTGAACTGGTGAAGACAGAAATTGAACAGTGCAAAGAAGCGTGTCTTTTGTTCCAAAGCACATAAAGTACAAACTGAAGCCTAGAGTGGGCCATGAGGTGGTGGGGTTGGTTTCTGTGTCAAGGTCAGAAGTGTGGCAGCTGCATGATATACTCTGGATCTACCTCACAATTACATCTTCACTAGAAAACTTCTTCCCTCCTTTCTTCCTTTTTCCCTCCTCTCCTCCTTCCATCCCCTCCACAACCCTTGAACTCCCTGCCACCCTGAAAAGATTTGTATCCTCAAAACAATGTTCAAAGGCATTTCTACAAATTTATAAATATCTTGTATCAAGCAATAAAACTCAAAATATCTGGTACTAATTAGAAGTGTGTATGAAAGTAAGGAAATAAAGCCTGTATGGGGGAGGATTAATCATTAGTAACAGACCCAGAAATGCCAGAATTAGTATCATCCGTGAATTACTAAGCAATCACTAGTGGCAGGGACATGGAAGTGGCTACAAACATAAGCCATGGTTATATACATTTCTTCATGTTCAAGAGAATGAAGACTGGGGGAGGAACAGCACCAATGAGCTAAGAAACAACTTCAACTGGTAAATTGAAATTCCCAAAGCAGAGGAGAGGGAAGGGGATACATAAAACAAATATATTTAAAGAAACAACGGTAAAACCTCTTCAGATCAGATGATAACTATAAACCCTAAGACTTAAGAAGCATGTTGAGCCTAAGCCCGATATATAGGAAGAAAACCACTGTCGCATATCATAATTAAAATTCTAACCAGCACAGGGCGTTGGTGGCGCACACCTTTAATCCCAACACTCGGGAGGCAGAGGCAGGCGGATCTCTGTGAGTTCGAGACCAGCCTGGTCTACAAGAGCTAGTTCCAGGATAGCCTCCAAAGCCACAGAGAAACTCTGTCTCGAAATACAAAAAACATAAAACAAAAAAACACAAAAAAACAAAAACATTCTAACCAGCGATAAACAGAGTGTCATAGAAGCAAGAAGAGAAAAACGATGTACGACCCAGGGACAAAACTCACAATGACAATAGTTATTGTTACAGTACAGATCTGCAGAACAATGAACTAAGCTCTCTCTCTCTCTCTCTCTCTCTCTCTCTCTCTCTCTCTCT